ATATCAATCGTCTTCAGGACACTGTTAAAGCGTAGCAACACAAAAGTTTCCATGATTTCCCTCACTGAGGGAGCAGAACGGATCAAACACAATAATTACAGGCATTCTTCACATGAAATCATAACTTGGCAAATCTGATCAAATCTTAAATAAAAATATCACTTATTACACGTCTTAGCAACTTAATAGAAAATAACAGTGGAACTCTTGCTATAAGCAAAACTCCTGCACAAAATGCGATAGTTTGAAATTCGAAATTTAACTAACTATGGTTCCTGTATCAATTTAAAACAGTGCACTACAACTTAATATAAAGAAGTGGCAATAAAGGTCAATCGGTCAGCCAGTTTCAGTTTCGATTACCGCTAATTCTTTCGAGTTGCTGAGGCAGAAGCATCAGTCTACAATGTTCCCGAACCTGCGGCAGTGTTTGAGCTTCGACAGAAGATAATGCGAGTTTGGACTGCAGTCATTCGAGACACCTGTCACAAGTCATTCTTAGCTGACATCATCTTGGACAAAAAAGGTATGTAAGAAAATGAGAAGAACCACTAAATGCTACAAAAAAAATTGCAAAGTTAAACAAAATAAGTTGCATCGGGTTTAAAGGGCTATAGATGACTTTTAGTCAGTCCCACAAACATCTGCCATCAAACAATTTCGCTACCTTCCCTCCTTCGAAAAGTTAGAAACAGCCGCCAATGAAAATCAACAGAGGACTAATATTTCTTTGGAGAAAATCGTGTAACCCAGATCAAAACACTAGTTAACTACTAGCCAACGTAACAAACCTTCGTTAGCAGACTGATCTGGTGATACATGGTTAGGAAACCCAAACATGTAACAGAGATGGAAAATTTTACTACGCATTTCACTGACATCACCGGTAACATCATTCAGTCATGATAATGTTAACACTGTTGATATCGAAATCCTTCAACCACTATATAAAACTTTTCAATTTTTATTTGACGCTAACAAGCTAAAAGTAGGTTAACATACCATGTGAACTGGCAAGTATGGTAAAATGCTACATCTGCAGAAAGATTCATGTTAATATGAATGCTGACCAAGTTAGGTCCATTAAAAGTCAAAAATTAATAACTGTCGATGATGAGCAAGAACGTCGTCTTTCAGGCTAGCGGAAATCCGGTTTTAGCGTACCACTGTTTCGCTTTGTAAAATAATACTTTTATGTAATTCAGTCGATGCGCAGCATCAAGCTATTTTCGACTCTTAGACTTGAATACCTTTTTAACGAGGCTTTCGTTGTCAGCTATCTTCGTGGCGAGCTCGTTCTCTAGAGCACAGCGAGCGGGATCAATGATCTGTTCCGAGGTAGAATGTGACATTTTTCGAAAAAGTGAAATCCGAGAGGAGGCTCTAGCGGGCATTTTTGAATCATAGTCCATACGCGAAGTTTCTAGCTCCTTTCGCAACACCGAAACCCGTTTCTCCAGCTGGATGTTCCTGAAGTTAAGGCTTTCAACTTCTGCTTCAAGGCGCTGGATTCGAGCTTCACTTTCGTTCAACTGCATCTATAATAAGATACCGCTAGCAAGATCGAGGGCAAAAGATTTCAAAATGGTCACCGATTTATTGCGACCCCGTATCTCTTCCTCCTGTAAGGTATTTCTAACCATTTTCAGCTCGCTACGGATCTACATGAAAATATATAGGACAAGACAGATCGCATTTTAAACAGTTACCTTTGCATAAGCAGAAGCAAGGCGCCGGTACTTCGACGGAAGGTCTTGTTCCGAAGCGGATGTGGACGCCGAAACGGACATGAGTGCCAAGATTTGTAGTCCCGCCTGTCAGTAGTGTTCGACAAGCCTTCAATGAAGGAAAGTAAAATTAGCAACAATTAGTGAACCGCCATTTCGTATTAAAATTTAGGACGAACCAGACACCGTATCAGAAATCTTAAACGTAATTATAGATGTCTGCTCCAAATATTCGTGAATTCTTCTAATACGAAAACTTGCTGACATTGGAATTTGTCATTATGAGAGCAAAATATTTACGAAACAGGACTCAATAACTGCCAATGTGATGATACTCAACAGTCACAAGGATATAAAAAATTTTTCACCTTGTGCTTTCGACTATAATATATGGCGGTCCAGTGGTTTCCCCAGCGCTTCACAACATCGATGTCGTCTTATTGTGCGATGCATCAAGCGAATGTCAGGAATCAGTGACATCGACATGAAAGAGTCAATGGCAAAAACAATAAAGCAGGTTGCAATGGCAACAAAAACACTTGGAGAAAAAATATCTCAAAAATCCTGCTCATCTGTTATAGCCCAGTATGCAGTCAAACAAGAAGATTGGACACTCCATCAAACAACGTTCTTATCCTAGATCGAACAAAAAAGTCAGTAGTAGTAGCATTCATCGCTCGCTCGCTCTCTTGCTGACTCATCAGCAGCTAAAGCAAATCTCCTGCCACTTTTCTCCCGAGCGTGAAGCATCAGGTCGAATTCTTTTGCTTATTAATGTGTACATTGACTCTATCTATTTACTTGTCACTTTTTTTCTTTTTGTCAGCCGAACGAGCTACTGAAAACTAAGACAGTTCTTAGCTTAAGAAAGAAAACGATTATTATTACTGATAGATGGCTGAACGATTTATGGTTCAAGGCATCAAATGCAATTTGCATTTGGTAACCAGAACCATGATTCGTTTAAACGCCGATCTATACAATTATGGGCTCAGAATCAAAAATGTCTCATTTTATTAATAAAAAGGCTTATTTATTATTATTATTAT